TCTAGAGCAGAGGGTTCTTGTATGGAAGGTAGTGGGCAGAAAACTTTGGTAAGGTAGCCTGGGAATTCACAGTGAAGGACTTAGAATGGTAGGTAAGGAGTTTGTTTTTTATCCTACACAGCAAGAGTCACCAACTTGTAACTCGAGGGCTGGATTTGGCTCATAGATGTGTTTTGTTTGGCCTAAACGGTGGTTTTGGAGGGTTTGTTTTTTATTTTTAAATGGAATTAGTTGTCCCTATTTAAAAAACAGATTCCACATAGAAATCTGTGCTTTCAGCTTATCTTGAAAAATCAGAAGACCTGGCAATTAGTGAGCCTATATTTCATCATGGCAACGATTTATGGGAACAGCAAGCAACTGCCCCGTTAGATGGGACATGTGCTCTCCAGTTTGCCACAGTCTCCACCACTTCCTGTTGTTTTACACACATCTTTACTCACTTACATTTCCTGCTTGGCCCTAGTAGGTATTTAGGTATTTGAGTTTGTAACTTCTGCTATGGACAGTGGGAAATTGATGGAAGTTTTAAGAAGGAGAGTGACGTGATTTATATTCATTAATTCATTCAACAGACATTGATTAATTCAACATATATGCCAAGATGTACAGTGTTCAAAGATGGATGAGTCCCCGCCGTGATGTGGGTTACAATCTAGTGGGAAAATGATGAAAGCAGCATTTTAGGAAGACAGTGTATGGATTTGAGAATAGACATTGGTGACTGGAAGATCACTTAAGAGGCTGTAACAGTCCCAAGTCTGAAGTAATAAAGGCCAGAATTTAGATATCAGCAGGGGGACTAGGAAGAAAAAAAGAAAAAGAGATGGGAAAGATATCGCAAAGGAAAAATCATCAGCCGTTAATAATAGGTTGAAATATAGAAGGCGTGAGAGAGGAAAACTCAAAGATGATGAAGATTTTGAGTTGTGAATTAGGAAATTTGTGGTGCCACTAAAAGAAACAGGAAATTAGAATGAGAATCCATTTAACTCTCTCTGTGTATATGGGGCAGAGATGCCAAGGAAGGGGAATGTTTGGAGATGCCAGTTTGAAGTGTCTCTTGTTTTAGTTCAGTGTATTGGCATACACGATATATGTGTTTTTAAAAGGAAAACTTAATAGAAATGTTGTCAAGATTGCATACTTAGGTGTAGATACCACTCATTCCATCCTAGGATTCCAAGGGAATACCTGGAGAAGTGTTTAAGTGATGTTTCTTGAAAATGTTTGCTTTGGAGGCCCTATAATTAGAATTTATAGCATTGTTCAAGTCCTTTCTTGAATGTATAATCTTCAGATTTATGTTGCATAGGTAAGTTTAACTTTCTCTTTCTGGGAGAATGAAAAAATACTGTATAAGCTCAAATTCTTAAAGATGTTTTCTGAGTGTCAGTACTACCTTTCAGAATTTAAATTATAATTGGCTGTGTGTTTGTGAGGTAGTCCAGGGATGAAATGTTGTCATAACTGTTCCTCTGTGGAAATCGTAGCCAGTTTTTCTTCTTATGATCTTATGTTTGAAGTGCTCTACTTTTGAAAAATTTTTTTACTGTGGTAAAATATATATAACACAAAAATTGCCATTTTAACATTCTGAGTGTACAGTTCAGTGGCATTAGTTAGATTCACAGTGTTGTACAAGCATCATTACTGTCTATTTCCAAAACTTTTTCATCAACCCAAACAGAAACTCTGGATCTGTTAAGCAGTAACTCCCGTTCTCTCCTCCCCCAAACCCCAGGTAACCTCTAATCTACTTTCTGTCTCTATGAATTTGCCTATTCTAGATATTTCATATAAGTGGACTCATTATGTCTTTTTCTGTCTGACTTCTTTCACTTAGTATAATGTTTTCAAGGTTCATCCATTTTGTAGCATGTATCAGAACTTCATTCCTTTTTCTAGCTAAATAATATTCTATTGTATATATGTATTTATTATATTTTGTTTATCTTTGCATCTGTTGACAGACATCTGGGTTGTTTCTACCTCTGGCTGTTGTGAATAATGTTGCAGTCAACACTGGCATAGAAATATTGGTTGAAACTCTGTTTTCTTTTCTTGTGGATATGTACCTAGGACTGGGATTGGCTTTGTCCCTTTTAACCATGTACTCATACATGTAATAGTAAGTAAGCAAGAGCCACTCTTGCTCACACTGTGGAACACTTGTATTTGAGTTCTTCACAGCCAAAAAAAGACCTCACAAAGTGCATACACTAGATTTTATACACTTTGCTTGTGGATTAGCTCCTTAGTCACTGTCCTCCATACATTTACACACATACGTTTATACAAAAACATACACTAGCTTTTAGAGGGAGTGTAACTTGCCTCCTTTTGCTGTCACTGATTTTATAAGGAAGTGATTTTGTAAGAGTGGCTGCAGTTTGAATGAGAAGAAAGTATGGAAGAGGAGAAAGAGCCCATGAGTACTAGACTACAATTCAGAAGATCAGCTTGGTGATCTGGTTTTCAAAGCCTGAACAGATTGGAAACAGAAATGTAGAAAGAGATAACTGCACAAAAAATAGGCATACTGACAAGAGAGAACTTTGCTCTTATGATTATCCATGTCCATCTTCTACAGGTTGAAAACACAGTAATTGAAGGAAACAAAAGGGAAAAGCCCAGAAGGAAAAAAAAAATTGGTAAGTAACCTATATAAAGTAGTACTTTACTTTTCCATAGGTCATGTTTCTGCAAATTCTGCTTGCTTTTTCCTAGCTGAGAGCCCATAGTAAATGGAAAGGGATCTATGAGTCACTAAAAGAGCTGTCACAAAGTCCACAACCCTTATTCTCTTGGAGAGGCCCTCATTTGCATAAATTGACATAAAAGTCTAATCATTATGGCTCTCTCACATCCCACAAAAGATTTTTGAAAATTAGATGATGGCAGCTTATTGAAGGAATCAGGCAGATGACATCACTGATCAGTGATAATAGATAGCATGATGTCAAGGAAAACTAGCTCAAAAAGCATAGCAATCTGGGGCCATTTGATGGCAGAAGGGCAAACAGTCCTATAGACCTGTAGCTCCTGGAGGCATCCCAGGTTAACAGAAAAATATAACTGATGATCCCAATCATGACTCTGAACCATAAATAAAATGTCACTTTAGAAACATTTTTACCAAACACTGTTAAAATAAAAATGTTACAGTATTTAGAGGGGAAACATCTTAAAGATATATTTGAAGAAATGTACTTCTGTGGAACCCCTATTCCTTGCTTTATATGTGAGGTATCATTGTAATATTTCAGTCTTGCTCATGTTTTTCATTTTGATTTAACGTATTTGAAGTAGTAGCTATTTTTCAGTTGATAAAAAAGGGAAAATATGTTTTCACTTCTCTGAAGTAATTTGAGAAAACAGTAATTTCATAAACAGTGACAGATGGCACTGATCCTTGAAATTGCTCTTCTGCAAATAAGTGCCTCCCACAGTGGATATGGGTTTGGAGGCAGAGAGAGTTTATCACTTTAGGTTTTCGTTATATTTGCTCATTGGGCAATATTAGCCCCCTCCTGATTGATAGTATCTTTTTATCTAAAAGACTTTCACTCTTAATGAATGAGTAAGAAAAGGCCTTGTGACATGTGAAAAGAGGCAGCAATAGCAACAACTTTCCCCGTGCAGTGATTATTGTAGCTAAGTCAAGCCTGAAACAATGAAGAATGAAGTCATGGACTGCCTGATCTTATTTCAGTGTAACACCCAAATGGTTTCATTGTACAAAATGGCTCTTTTTGGCACTTGTCTTATGATGTTTTGATTAAAATGGAATAAAGTACAAAAAGAAGCAATCTGTTTATAGGAAAAAATTTTATATTTGTTGGTAACTACCAATGCATCAATTCTAATTCCTTTGTTGAGAGTATTTGATCTTAGGGTTGGAGGGAACTTAAAGGATATGTCATTCATCCAGCCTTCTGACCTGTGAATCCACTTTGGACAGTGTGGTCAGATTTGGGCTGAGCCCTTGGGGCAAGAATCCTCCTCTCCCCACCAACGTGAGACAACTCAAATTGTTGGGAACTTCTTCCTGTTCAATCTCTCCCCTTGTAGTTTCTTATTAGTAGTAGTTAAACTGTAGTTTCTATTACAGGCCTTATTACAGCTCCTTGGCAACAATCTAATAAAAGTTGATTTTTTAATAAACCTTTTTTATTTTGTTGATATTTGAAAAATGCTCGTTATAAAATTTTTCAGTAGTTTTCAAATCTGTGCCAGTTGTCAGTCTCGTCCCTTTCACCAAATATCTCTTCAGTACCTAAGTATTAATGCTACCATTGTATGATTAGAAGGTTTTTTTTGTATGTAGCACGAAGAAAGTTGCTATTCTGTTAATATAAATATTTTTCACTCTATATCTTCCTTGACTTAGTATTTAATTTCACTGTTAGGTTTCTTATTCAGTTATTAACTGATATCTATAATCTTAACCAATATAATGACTCATTTATTTTCTTCCTACTCTTTCCTAAATATATCTGACTTTTAGTTGAAGTATTTAAATTCATTTTCACCCTTAGGAACAAGCAGGACATTGTGTGAGTTGTAGTTTTTCTGACTTTAATGCTTTTCCTTAAGTAAAATATTGACAGAAAAAATGATTGACTGTAACAGAAAAAATGAAGAACTTTAAGTGGTAGGATATGATATTTTCAGAGAAGTTAAAAGTCCATATTGTTTTTAATTTTTAAGAGTTAAGATCATTGGAATACTATGTAGCTCCTAAAACAAAAAGTATGTAAGCTGTGTTAATAGAAGTATATATAAACTGAAAAAAAAAAGCTGAACACAAACTTTTATGCAAATACTGGTTATAACTTGCAGTAGCCAGCCTCCGAGATGGCCCCCAATGATCCTCACCTCCTAATAGTCATGCCTTTGTGGAGTTCCCTCACACATTTCATCAGCATTGGTCTGTATGAGCAATGGAATATTGAGGAAGTGGTCGTGTATGATTTACAGAGCTAAGTCATAAAACGCATTGCTGCTTCTGCCTTGCTCTCTCTTGGATTGCCCCCTATGGAGGAAGTCAGCCACCATGTTGTGAAGATTTTCAAGGCCCTGTGGAGAGTCCACGTGGGAATCAGCTGATGCTTCCTTCCAACAACCAGCATCAGCTGGTTGTTTACAATGTAAACAATGTAAACCAGCATCAGCTAGCCAACCAGTGAGTGAGCCATCTTGGAAGTGGGTCCTCAGCCTCAGTCAAGCCTTCAGATGACTGCAGCCCCAGGCTACATCTTGACTACAGTATCATGAGAGACCCAAGCCAGAACTATCCAATTAAGCCACTCCCAAATCACTGAACTACGGAAATTGTGAGATAATAAATATTTGTTGTTATTTTAAGCAACTAAGTTTTGGGGTTATTTGTTGTGCAGCAATGGATAAGTGATATACAGCATCCTAAAGTATTTATTGGTTTGCTAAATAGAAGAGAATTTGGACAATGTAAACAAATCTTTAGATTTGTTTTTGAAAGTTACCTTAGTTTATCACAATTTTAACAATTTTTTTTTGTGTGTGTGAAGAAGACCAGCCTTTTTTTTTTTTTTTTTGTGAAGAAGACCAGCCCTGAGCTAACATCCATGCTAATCCTCCTCTTTTTGCTGAGGAAGACCGGCTCTGAGCTAACATCTATTGCCAATCCTCCTCCTTTTTTTTCCCCAAAGCCCCAGTAGGTAGTTGTATGTCATAGTTGCACATCCTTCTATCTAGTTGCTGTATGTGGGACGCGGCCTCAGCATGGCCAGAGAAGCGGTGCATCGGTGCACGCCCAGGATCTGAACCCGGTTCACCAGTAGCGGAGCACGCACACTTAACCGCTAAGCCACGGGGCCGGCCCACAATTTTAACAATTTGAAGTGGTTAAAGAAATTCAATTTAGCTGTAAAACTACTAACAGATTCGGAAAAATAAAATTGTAGTTTCTTTCAAAACAAATTAATATGACTAGATTAGGTGTTCATTAATCAATTACATTTTCTCTTAATGTTTGACTATTTATGAAAGTATTATTTATCCTTTTTTAATGTCATTTTGCAGTTTATTCCTATTGTCAATTTCTGTTGAGCACCTTCTTGGACACTCTTCTTGGTGCTTGGGCTACATCAGTAAACAAAAAAAGATTCCTACTCTTAAGGAGCTTATATTCTACCAGGGGAACACAGACAATAAGCATAGTAAATAAGCTGTCTAGTGTGTTAGAATGTGATAAGTGGTATGGAAAAAAGACAAAGGTCAGAGTAATGGGGATTGAGAGAGCAGGTGGAGGCAGGGGGCACATGAGGGAGGGAGGTTACAGTATTAAAGATAGGCCTCACTAAGAAAGCTGCATTTGAACAATGATTTAAAGGAGTTGCAGGAATTTGTCAAGTAGATTTTTGGGAAAAGATTGTTTGAGACAGTGGGCACAGTCCTTCTCCTAAGGCAGGAGCAAGTGTGACATATAAGCACAGAAGTCAGTGTAAGAGGAGTAAGGTGAAAACCGTTAGTAAATGAGGTTAGAGAGGTAATGGGGGGGCTAGGCAGAGCAAATGGATCCATGAAGGCTGTTGTTGGGACCTTGCTACTCTGAGGGGAATGGGAAGCCACTGCTGAATTTTGCACGGAGGAGAGATATGCTCTACCTTATATTTTAAAAGGATGGCTTTGGTCGCTTGTTAAAAAAGACTCTAGGGGAGTGAGGGTACAATCTCTTGGTCTTGTATAGGAAGGAGATCAAACTACTGTAAGACTTGCACATTCTGATGCCAGTTTAGCTTTCCAGCTTCATCTCTGACCTTTTTTCTCTGCTCTACACTCTCCTCCCTACTCCAATATCCATCTTTTCCTAGGGCCATACCAGATGACCCTTCCTAGGTGACCTACTTGTTAAAACTGTGGGGTATGGAATTAGACCATCTGGGTTTGATTTCTGGCTCTTTTCAGTTTGGTCTTGAATGACTTAGTTTCATAAGCCTCAGTTTTCTCATTTATGGAATGGGGTTGTTAATAATAGAACCTACCTCACAGAGTGATATTGTGAGATTAAATGAGATAATCCATGTAAAACACTTAACATAGCGCTTGGCAAGTATTAAGGTCTCAATAAATATTAGCTGCTATTATTATTTTTACCCCAGATTATGTTCCTTTGGCTGCAGTCTTTTGTCTGCATTAAATGCTAACCCTCCTTTTCTATACTCCCCTCCTCTACAGTCTTCTATTTTTTTGTTTTCTTTTTGTTTCTCAAATCCATGTGACAAAAATTCTTGAGGAAATGTAAAAATGAAATCAAACTATCCATAATTTACCTACTATCTGTTTTCATCTTTCTATAGTCCTTCTGGTCTTTGTCCACATGTCTCTCTTATTTAGATAGTTACTTCTGTTCACTTTTCATGATCAGTTCAAATGTCATCTCATGATGCCTTTCCTAATCCTCTAGGTAGAGTTAGTCTTTCAGGGCTTTACGGTCTCTTAGTGTTTTATTTTTTTTTTAATTTTTTGTTTATTGCAGTAACATTGGTTTATAACATTGTATAAATTTCAGGTGTACATCATTATACTTCTATTTCTGCATAGATTACATCATTCTTAGTGTTTTATGATTAACTGAAAAAGTGTGGTTATTTGTATATATGTCTGTCACCTCTGCCAAACTCTTAGCATATTGAATAAAAAGGTCTGTTTATTTGCCTTTAATTCTCTGGCACCTAGCACTTAGTAGGCTGAATTAGCAAATCTTTGTAGAATTAGACAATTGAGTGGAGCCTACCAAGACTCCCCACTCCAATCTTTCCTGCATGTAACTGCCAGGTTTATATTTGTGCCATTCCCTTGCTCAGAGTCTTTATTGGCTTCCCATTGCCTGCAGAGTAAAGTGTAAACTCCTAAGCTGAGTATTTGGTGTGCTCTCCTATTTGACCTTTATTTGCCTTTCCAACTTTATTTCTTACTGTAGTTAGTCAAACCTATCTGTTCACCCAGGAGCCCCCATCCCTCTTAATCCATCCCATAGTAATCCATGTCTTGATTCATAACGTTTCTTTTTCCTGAAAGGCACTCCTCTCCTGTTCTAATTCCCCTCAGCAAGACCCTCCTCAAATGCCACCTCTTCCACAAAGCCTCTGATCATCCCAGCTGGAAGTAATCTCTCTCTGCTTTGAAGTCTCAGAGCATGGTAACTGTGCTGCTTGTCACATTTTAACTTTACAAAGGTAATTAATGGACATGTAATTTTTTTTTTCCTGTTTACTGTAATCTCTTAAAGGGCAGATCTAAGATGATTCGTCTTTGCGTGCTATACTTATAAGTAGCATTAGGCAACTGATAGTTTCTGGAATGGCTAAATGAATGAATTAATATGTGAATAAATAGGCTTCCTGGGATAGCACTTCTATCCATGGACTGGCTTAGAGGGAAATGGGGAATTGGGGATATGATACATAGCCATAGTAAGACATTGGGTAAGGGGTACTCCCTGCCCCAGTGCTCCTGTCTGCAGATACCATTAGCCCAATTGTACCGAGTCCATTCAGGATACATTTACTGACTTCTAACATGTTCCAGGCTCACTACTTGGCTTTGGGAATATAAGAGATATGATTCATGTACCCCTCATCTTAGACAGCCTTCAGATAGCAGAGTGTTCCAGGGCTCTGGCCCCTGCTATTGGGTATGTAGGTACCAAGTATATCCCCAAATGAGGCAGTGCTCACTGTGCTGAAAATCTGTCCCAGATTTACCTTATTAGACCCACCTTAGTTTTGCTTTGCTTGACTAACTTATGCTCTGAGTGGCTTGGCTAATCCATTCCCACAGTTCAGATTATTGTTTAAAAATTTCATTCTAGTTACATTTTAAACTTGCTTTATGTCTAATTTTTAACTTTGTTAAAGTTGGCTTTGCTGTGGAACTCAGAAGAATTGGCACTGGGAGCTTTTACACTCCCTATTTTCAGACTTTTTGGTGGACCTTTCTAGTCACCTATCCCATTCCATTATTTTCCACTGTTGAGAAATACTGTGTCATTTTATCCAAGTCAATCAGTATTGATATTTGCTTAGGGAGGGAACAGAAAAACCTAAATACAATCAGATGTCACCATAGAACTGTATAAGAAAAACAAATTCACTCCTTTTGAAATGATTCAGTGCCTCCAAAATCATCCTTTCTCACACCTGCCATCTTTATTCCGGTTTGCCTCTATATTCCAGCCATACTGAACTCTCAGTGCTTAAAGTTCTCTGAATTCTCCTTGTGTCACTTCACCAGGTTATTTCCTACCTCTGATTCAGGACCCAGCTTAGGCCATTTATCCCTTAAGACGACTCCCCCTCCCTTCCCACCTCCAGCCTTCCCCTTCTAAGATAAGTTACTTGCCCTTATGTCCATTCCTGTAACACCTTGGGCATATTTCTGTCAGAGAACTTACCACAGTACATTATAGCTGTTGGTTTACTTGTCTGTTTCTTCTAGTAAGCTGAAGTCTCCCCAAGAGCTGGGCCTATATCTGATTCTTCTTTTGCATCTAGAAGTTAACACAGTGTCTGATATATATTAGACACTCAGTAAATGCTTATTAATTAGACAATTCAATGCCCAGCTTTCTAAATTCATCTCAAGAATGGAAGCTATTGAGGAGTACTATTAAAGTCTCTACTGTTGGACTAATGTTGTAAGAACTGAATTAGTAGGGAATTAATTTCTTGTGTAAAAACTACACAATTCAGTTCTTAAGAAACTTCTGCCCTATAAGTAATAATTCTACTAGTTGGCACTTAACTATCATAAAAGTAGATGAACGAGATAATCATGTGTACCCAGAAAAAAGGTGGATAAGGGAGGAGTGAAGGATAAAGAAGGGAGTGAGTTAGGAAAATGCCAGGCAGTTGCAAACTAGCACAAAGGTGAATGTGGTTTAGGAAGCCAGCTTGATTCAGAAGGGCTGAAACAGGAGCAAAGAGCAAAAGGCAACCAACAGTGAAAGCAAGGATTCATGGGGAACGGGCAGACATGAGCAGGTGAGCACCTAGGTGGGGTCTGGGTCCTGTGGGATTGTGGTCTCTTAGGCTCTGGGTGATGTGGAAGAAGGGAATCCAGAGTGTGAAGCTCTGGGGAGGCTGAGTGGGGAGGATTAGTGTTTACTACAGAGACAGATCTACTGAAAAGATCTTGGAAGGAGTTGGGCATAGTGACAAACACTGGCTGGCACCAAAGTCTCAAAAGAATTGAAGAGGGATTTTTGTTGGGGATTAATAGGAGACAGTGAGCAAGAGATATTGAGAAGATCGATTCTGAAAGGAGTGGATTTCAATTGTACGCTGATGTATACTCCCCGGTCTATGGAAAGTAAACTTGACTATCTATATTGTTTTGAGTAGCATATTGACACCTTTGGAGAAACAGTCCTTCCTTGGAAGTTTGAAATCGTGATCTTTCAGTGGATAGGTAATTAATTTCCTTTTGGAAAGAAGTCAGCTATTATATTCTTGTTACATTGGTGAGATCCAGTGCCTGAGTTACTGGATCACTGTTCATCCCTTCAGAGTATTTATTTCAACACCTACTATGTGCTAACACTGTTCCAGCACCAGGAACACATCAGAGAACAAAACAGACAAAAATTCTTGCCCATGTATAGCTTACATGGGGGTAGGGGGGAGCAGGAAGTGTGAAAAAAACACAGAAGTAGTAAATTATATAGTGTATTAGAAGGTGCAAAGTGCTATGGAGAAAAGTAAGCAGGGAAGGAAGGTAGAAGATGTGCATGTGGCCAGGTGGGTTGCAATTTTAAATAGAGTGGACAAGGAAAGTCTCACTGAGAAGGTGACATTTGAGCAAAGACTAACAAAGTGAATGAGCAAGCTATGCAGGCTGGAGTCATGTAAAATAGGACTCTTATTCTACATAGTCTGCATTGTAAGCCTTTCTAATACCATTCTTAAAATAGCTAATCTTAAAGAAAAATGAGATTGGAAGTGGTGTTAGAAGGTAGAGATTGAGAGCAGAAGGGAGCATTTTGTGTGTTCATTCTTTGCTTTCTCTAAAATCCATTTAGTTTTACACTCAACACCTGGTATGACTCTGCAGTTTTCGCTCCATGAAAATGGATATATACTAGTATGCTTTTTTATTCCTTGAAATCTCTTTTGGGGGCCTGCCCTGTGGCCTAGTGGTTAAGTTCAGTGTGCTCTGCTTTGGCAGCCCAAGTTCGGTTCCCGGGTGTGGACCTATACCACTTGTCAGCAGCCATGCTGTGGTGGTGACCCACATACAAAATAGATGAAGATTGGCCTGGATGTTAGCTCAGGGTGAACCTTCCTCAGCAAAAAAAAAAAAAAAAATCTCTTTTGGAAGAAAAACAAATGTTTGTTTAACGGAAATAGAAGCTGGAGAGGTTTTTCAGAAACCACAATAATAGAGAAAATATGAGTAAGCCCTGAAGAAGCTGCTGTGGAATCAGTCACAGAGATGGAGGAATGCTGGTGACTGGAGAGCCTCTAAATATGCTTCCCAAGGGAGTAAAGGAACCAAGTGTTGAATATGGTTTGAGCTCTGGACAAGTCAAGGATCCATTAATACTCAGAGAATCTGAAAAGGTTGTTTTTGTTTTCAGTTATTTGGATTGATCTCCATGACCAGCCTGTTTGCTATAAAAGAAGAATCAGCCAAAGGGAGTGATTTAAGATGTGAGTATGAATCTGGCCAGGCAGCTGCCCTGTTTCAGTGGTTGATTTCTAGGGATGAAGTTTCCTTTGTTAGAGATTCTAAAAGTTTTCCTTTCTTAGCCAGTGGCTCTCATTCTTAACTACAGGATTGAAGTTCAGCCTTGAATAGCGTGTTCAAGCTGATATTTCTAACTCTGCCTTAGTAGTACCTCAGAACAACTCTAGTTATTTTAAATAGTTTTAAATTTCAAATACAATTAACTTCAATTTGCTTTATTTTATGTAAGTGTCACCTCTGGGGTGAGGGAGGCACCTGAGGGAGGCATTTTGAAAACACAAACCCTAGGAGATCAACAAACTTGAGAATGACTGAGAATCCTCTATCTGTACTCCAGATATACCAAGTCTTCTGTTAGAGATAAGAGGATTGGGAAACGGGGACTTTGGAATTAGATCTTGTTTAACCAGTAACTGTGACTTACACAAGAAGACTGCAGAGATGAAAGCTCGATCAGAAGACCTAAAACTGTTTTGAGCAGGGTACAGAGGGGCAGTTAAGGAAGGCTTAAATGTTAGAGGATAGATAGGGCGTTCTTCATTAATACCAGGAGAAAATATAGCCTAGAGTAGAGAAAATATAGCCTATCCCGGAGATATTTTTCCATGTAACCTTCCTCTAGGTTTTCACCATCAGCATTTCTAGTCAGTCTACCATAATTTACAAATTCAAAACAAATAATGCTGAGCACTAGTGCTAAGTTTTTTCTTTGCTAAGGACACATTAAGAAATATAGGCAAAAAAAAAAAAAGAAATATAGGCAGTAACTTGCCATAAGGGAGACATTTTCGAATCAGGGAAAAAGAAAGGTTGGCAAGAGTGAAGACTGATTTCTGATCAAGATTTCACCACTGACCCGCTTTATGACTTGTAGCAGGTCATTGACCCTTTCTGTCTTAATTTGCCCATCTGCCCTAGGTTCTTGTGGGAATAACATGGCCTGAAACATGGGCCTGTGAAAGATGTTTTAAAAACCGTGATGATCTATTTAAGTATTTTTAAATTAAGTTGATTTATTTCCTTAAAATTTGGTTGTACGTGCAAGGCATTGGCAATATTGCTGGTCACGGGTGGCAGTCCAATGGCCTAATTTTTGAAGGCTGTGAATACCCCAATGCTAGGGAGTTTATAACTTCTTTGTAACTTTGTAACTTTAATTCAGAAATTGAAACTTCTTATATCAGTCAAAAAGAAGAAAGGGGCCGGCCCGGTGGCATAGTGGTTAAATTTGCATGCTCCGTTTCCGTGGCCTGGTGTTCGCGGGTTCAGATCCTGGGTGCAGACCTACACACACTCATCAAGCCATGCTATGGCAGTGTCCCACATACAAAGTGGAGGAAGATTGGCACAGATGTTAGCTCAGGGACAATCTTCCTCAAGCAAAAAGAGGAAGATTGGCAACAGATAGTTCAGGGCCAATTTTCCTCACTGAAAAAAAAAAAAAGAAGAAGAAAGAGAGGGAAAGAGGGAGGGAGGGTTAGTGTATGACCTAAAGACAAAATTGTCAAAATGGAAAGAAGAAAACTAGACTCAACAAGAAAACTAGACTCAACAAGAGGAAACTCTTAAATGTGAGAGCCACCCTACAATTAAAAGCAGAGCATGGGAAAATATATTTTAAATCCCAATTTCTTTTGCAACCAGATACCCTTCAAAAAGGTGCTAAGAGTGTATGTCACCCTGGCCTAGCTTGTTGTGCTGGTTATTAGAAATAGAGAAGGAGCACCTTGAGGAAAGGGGTGGGATTTCAATAATGAATGTTTCTTCTTTTACAGATGTAAACAAAAAGGCCAATTGGTCTAACCTTGTGTATCTTTGTCCTATAAGCCACTGCAGGTGTGTGAACAGCACTGCTTCTGCAATAAAAGCCTAGACTCACCACATCTTGGGAAGAGAATGGCCACTTTCTGGGGGGCAGCCTTTTTGATGCTGGTGGCATCCTGTGTTTGCAGCACTGTCTTCCACAGAGACCAGGAGACTTGGTTTGAGGGTATTTTCCTGTCTTCCATGTGCCCCATCAATGTCAGTGCCAGCACCTTGTATGGAATTATGTTTGATGCAGGGAGCACTGGAACACGAATTCACGTTTACACCTTTGTGCAGAAAATACCAGGTAGGTGCAATCGTACCCTCACCAGAGCCTATAAATCCACACTTGAGCGTCTCTTCCCAGAACCAGGTGTGCTGAGAGTGTGTGATGTGAATTACAGAATCTGATGGCTACTGAATGTCTTTCTTCAGAGAACATTTTGGACTATAACTGAACACATGGTTTAAATCAGTGTGAAATTAAGAGAGATCTGGGCTGCCTGTAGTCTGAAACCCGTGTGTCCAAGAAGTATAGCTGTAATTTGTCTTTCCTTTTCTCTAAAGATGGTTGATAATCCAGAGTCCAGAATATTGAAAATACTAGGAGTGGTCTTGCGAGAAGGATCACCACCATCCATAGATAACGGGATGAGGGGACCCTGAAGATTAACTTTCTCAGAATTTCCAGTATTCTATCCTCAAGTTACATATAGAGACCAGGGAGAGGAGTAGGAGCTAGGTGTCCAGCAGAGAAATGGCAGAGCAACTCTCAAGGATTGCCTATCATCCTCTCTCCCCGTACCCAATACTCCTGCAAGCCATTCCTCACAAGTGGGATTACTTGCAATAGCTCGGGGCAATAGCAGGTTAATCTAGTAGGTCATATGATATAGAGCCCAGAAACAGCCTAACTTTTGGTAATCAGCCATCTCTCTTCTGTTTTGTTCCATGGACAAAACAGGACAACTTCCAATTCTAGAAGGGGAAGTTTTTGAATCTGTGAAGCCAGGACTTTCTGCTTTTATGGATCAACCTAAGCAGGTGAGTTTTTCATAATTAAATGTTTAGATTCTCAGTGCCTTGATAGCTTTACCACATCACTGCTGTTAAATATCTCATGCTGTCACAACTGATATTGAGGTCATATGTGAGATCAGTTTTCTGTCTTCAGCTAATCTCCTGGATAACAGTAATTCTACACCCCGAGCTCACTAGGGCTTGGGTGGAAGGAGGCTAGAATAGATTGTGCATGCAGGAATGATACCATCTTTTAAGAGACTGCTCCCTTTGTATTTACTGTTTAAGATTTTGAGTTAAAGCCATCAACTGCATTGATTAATATGGATGCAAAAGATAGACATGAAGTTCTATAAGGTATGAGGTATAAACATGGCAATTAAGGGAATGTAGACCCAATTAACTCCATTTCAGAGTGCTCTGGTATAGAACATAACTATGCCTATACTCTAGAAATTAGGCAAGAATTCAGGATGACAAAAATCTTTGGTAGTAGAGGATGAATGGAGAGTTTTTTCATGACTATATTTCACATTGAGCGCTCACAACATACTACACTCAGTATGTTAGAGGCCACACTGAAATAAAATAGAATAAGGCAAATGTTGAACTTTGGTAGCAGGTGTATTGTTCAGTATTAAAAGCGGAATCATTAACCAAAGGAAAACCTGATATTAAAAATGGCTTGCACTTAAAGAACTGAGAGAATGTTTCTTTTCTCAACTCACTATTATGAAATGGCAAATGTACTAGAAAATTAGGAGCTGTTGAAAGCAATTATATTATTAGAATCTGATTTGACATTTAGAGAAGATTGTGTTGTAGTTGCTAATAATTATAATGATTAAGAGGCAGCATGTTATCAGAATAGATGTTCACTCAGAGAAACAGTGAACTTAAAATAATGTTTTTAATTTATCATAAATTGAGTATCTACTGTGTACCATGCATGTAGGTACTGGTGATGCAAAAATGAACCTGATGTGGTCTGTCCTTATGGAGATGATAAAAAATGGAGCATAATAACAGTTATAGCTAGCATTTGTATGGCAACTACACACAGTCTGCCTCATATAACACACACAACGGTTTTGTGATGGTATGAGGTTTATCTCCCATCCCCCAGCTGAGGAAGCCAAGCCCCAGGAAACCCCTACGTTAGGCCACAGGGCTGGCAAGCATGTCTTCTAACTCCAAATCCTGTGTTTCTTTCACTATACCCAGTTTTCTGGCCTGAAGCTAATTTATGAGACACAAAATAACAATCAATTAAAATGACCACACTATAATAGAATCATTTTTATTATGACTTAATAAAAGTAAAAGGGATTCTCCTTCTTCAAGGAAGCGCACTTCTCTAGGTTTCTGCTCCTACAGAGCAGAGAGGGGTTGGAGCCCTTTACTACCTCACTCCTATTACTCCCCCAGAGCATGTTGAGGGAATAGACAAGTGCCACTAAATGGACTATTCACTGGATGAGGAGATCATCTCTTTTGAAGGGTGCTGAGACTGTTCAAGGACTCTTAGAAGTGGCCAAAGACTCAATCCCCCAAAGTCACTGGAAAAGGACCCCAGTGGTCCTCAAGGCAACAGCAGGACTGCGCTTACTGCCAGAACAGAAAGCTGAGGCTCTGCTCTTTGAGGTAATCTTTGAAATCTTCTGCATCTTGGATAATTCTTTTTCCCTATATGAATATTTGCTTTATGGGTTTTTAGCCCTTTGTAGTGTAACTGCTACCTTTAGAATTGCTAAAGCACTGTGGTAACTCTGGGCTCTTGTTGTAGCTAGTTATTTACATTTTTAAATGTTACTCTTGAATTTATAGAGCTTTTCCTAAAAAGCTTAAAGTATTTCCTGTCCATGATACTTTAATTCTCCTAATTTATTAAAGCAGTATCATAGAAATTATTTTTAATCAACTTTATTGAGGTATAACTTACATAAAATGTATACATTTTAAGTGTATGATTAAATGAGTTCTGACAAATATAGAAGTTTCCTTGTGTTCCTCTGCAGTCAGTTTCTCCCTCCCTGAAACCAGGCAACCACTAATCTGCTTTCTGTCATTATAGATTAGTTTTGCTTGTTCTTACATTTCTTACATTTCATATAAATGGAATCACACAGTTTATATTCTCTTGTGTCTCTGATGTTTTTCTCTCGGCATAAAATTTTTGAGAAGGATCATGGAATTTTAGGTGTGAAAGATTTTTAAAGATCATGTATTTCAAATTTCTTCTTATTCAGATCAAAAATTTAAGTACAGAGGGTTTTTATTTTGCAAGAAACATGTAAACTAATAAGATTTAAATTACATATTGTGAAGAATATTTATAGGCAGAATCCCATTATAACAGAAATCACAGCAGAAAAAGGATTCTGTATTGCAGGTGTGCTAATTCAGTCCTTTTCTAAATCCATTTTCCTTTGACTGTCAGCACAAAGGTCTTAAGTCCCTTATCCAAGGACAAGCTGCCTAGCACGTCTACTTGACAACATGAATCCCAATTCCTTATTTATTTATTCTTTCGTTTATTCAGCATATGAATGCTTACTATGTACTGTGCACTGGTGAAGTTAGGGGGACATAGAGCAGGGAACGAAAAAGACAGATAGTCCCTGCCCTTGTGGAGTTTACATTCTAGTTGCAAGGAGATAGAAAATAAACAACTAAACAAGTCAATACAAAGTATGTCAGGTACTGTACATGCTATGGAGGAAAAAAAGCAGGGTAAGGCTGCTAGGGAATGCTGGTGTGGGTGTGGGGCAGATGCTATTTTAAATAGGCTGGTCGGAGAAGACCTCATTGATAAGATGCATTTGATCAGAGATCTGAGGGGAATGAAGAAGCAAGCTATGCAAGACATTTGTAGGAAGAATATTCCAGGCTAATAAAACAGCAGGTGCAAAGGCCTAAAGCAGGAATGTGCCTGGTATGTTCAAGGAACAGTATCCAGCAGGAGGTCACCGAGGCTGGAGGGGAGTGGGTGATGGAAGAGACGTAAGAGATGAGGTCAGAGAAGTTTGAGGGGTTTATCATGTAGGGCCTCAAAGGCCAGTGTAAAGGCTGGCTTTTTCTCTAAGAAGGAAGTCATTGGAGGGTTTTGAGCTAGAGACATCATCTGACGTCTGTTTTAAAAGCACCACTCTGGCTGCTGTGTTGAGAATAAACTGTGAGCAGGAGAGAGGAGTGGAGAGGGCAAGAGCAGAAACTCTCTTTCTGTGTTTATTACTGTTTGCTTATATATCTTCTCCTTAAAAGCTTGTTTATAGATCACTTAACTGGCTTTTCCTGGTTGAAACAGAGTCCAGAGGTCACCACATGAAGTGTTTCGTCCCGTCAGGAATGAGAACACCAACAGACTAGAGTTCCTTCTATTCCTATTTGGAAAATCCTTTTCCCCCCATGATAATCATATAAAAATAAGACATATCACCCATATCACTGACCTGTATTTATGGAGAGTCAAGAGCGTTTGTGTGAGATCCTCATTCCCATCTCCTAAAATAGGATAAATAAATCTGGATCTGGGGATCTCTCTAGACTCTTGAGGCACCAGCCATGTGCCAAGATCTGACAGGGGACAGCAGAGTACCTCAGCCTATGGACATGAGCTCCTTTACCAGGAAGGGCAAAGATCTGCAGAATTTGATGAGAGAGCAGCAGAAACTTTCCTGTAGCCTCAGAAGCCACTCAGGCCCAACTCTTCCTTACTCTGTGAGTTTATCTGCTCATCTAAGAAATGGATTGGGACGGTCCTCCTAGCTTCCAGTGTGTGACCAGGTAGAATTAATCAGGTGTTTTTTCAAAAAATTACAGGACCCTTATTTGAGCTGGCAGGGTCAAATATATGCCCTTTCCTAGGTCCAGTTCACCTGTAAATTTAGATGGTTTGGTTGAGATTTATTTTAAAGTCAAAGGAATCCCTGTGTTTTTGTTTTTATAAGAAACCAATAATGGCTTGCCTAGTTCCTTCTCTAGTTTTTTAGGGAAAAGTAATGAGTTCTGCTAAAATTTTATCCAGGGAAAATGAAGAGAATAGTTTTCTAAGCCTTATAAAATACAACCAAAATATGGAAATCTGTTTTATTGCCTTAGGGAATCCAGGTTTTTTTCCTTTTTCTCTAGGTAAGAGAGATCTTCAAGAAGTCACCTTTCCTGGTACCAGATGACAGTGTTAGCATCATGGACGGATCCTATGAAGGTGGGAGAGGTGTTGATATATGTTCTAAGGGGAGAGGGGCCAGGGTTAATAAAAGATTTGATTAGAGGAACTGGGAACAGGGATGGGGGTGCTGAAGAAAAAGGAACTAAGTAAGGAGAAACAACTAAGCAAAAGGAATGGGATAGCAGGAAATGGAAGGATGGGGAGAAGGAAAATGTGTGCTTTAGGCGTGAAATTTAGAGAGAAGATGGGGCCAGGGAAGAGGGGAAGAACATGCTCTGAATGTAATCTTTGTCCTTCTCTCTTTTTTAGGCATATTAGCTTGGGTTACTGTGAATTTTCTGACAGGTAATAGATTCTAAAGTTTATCTTAAGACCTTAACTGGGTTTCACACATGGTCAGAGAGCAAAAACCCCTTTCTTTTTTCCTGTATTGTTCTTTCTTTTTTTAAAAAAAAAAGGAAAGGAAAGACAGGAAATTTATGTTTATAACCTGCCTTCATGGCCTCAGCTGCAGCAGGAGTCCTTCTAGGTTAGCATTTGCCTGCAGTCCCTGGGGCTGGAAGCAGTGGAGTATTTATGGAATTCCTCCAATATACGACAAGAACAGGGGAGAAATTGCAAACACAGGAGTGTTAGGCTGTCCAGGAAGCAGAAGATGTTCAGAGCTGCCTCTCATTCACAGGTCAACTGCATGGCCACAGCCAGGAGACTGTGGGGATCCTGGACCTGGGTGGGGCCTCTACCCAAATCACATTCCTGCCTCAGTTTGAGGTGAGTCATTTATATGAAGGTCTGGTTAGCAACCCACTTAGCAACCATATCATGGTGCCAAGACCATGGTGCCTCATTTTCAGACAGCAGCTCCACCATGAATAGGCTGAGTAGAGTCAATTAGTGACTAGGTGAACTTCCCCATGCCCCTTCACTGTTCAGAGCCCCTTTGATTTCCTGAAGCCTTGTGAAGTTAGCAGCTTAATCTGTCTCCTTCATCTCTGATTTTTTGGGGGAGGGTCAGGGAAGGTGGTGATAACATCTTCAGTTAATTGCAGATCCTGAATAGTCTTTTTACTTTTTCTGATTTGCAGAAAACCCTGGAGCAAACCCCTAGGGACTACCTCACTTCCTTTGAGATGTTTAACAGCACTTATAAGCTCTATACACATAGGTGAGGAGGGGGACAGGGAGGAATAATAATATTTTACACTGTTTGATTCTCCTAACTTTTTTTTTTTTAAAGATTTTATTTATTTATTTTTTTCCCCTTAAAGCCCCAGTAGATAGTTGTATGTCATAGCTGCACATCCTTCTAGTTGCTGCATGCGGGACACGGCCTCAGCACGGCCGGAGACGTGTCGGCGTGCGCCCGAGATCTGAACCTGGGCCGCCAGCAGTGGAGCGCGCACACTTAACCGCTAAGCCACGGGGCCGGCCCTCTTCTAACTTTTCAAAGCGGTTTCATATCTATTATTGCATCTGACCAGCCTTACAAATTCTTTGCCAGTCCCCAAAGGCTTAATAACTGAAACCCAAGCCACTTAGCAAAGCTCAATGACCCAAGAGGTTTCTCTAATCTTGGCCTCAAAAGTATATAACTTAAAGAGTCAAAAGTTTTCTCTAGCGAGAGGACACTCAGAGAAGGTTCAGCCAAAGCTCTGTGCCAACTCTTTTGAGCTTGCCATCAGATGTTCAAAATCTAGCCTAGCCTGTGATCAAAATTTGATCACAGTCAGGTTGGGAGCTAAGATAATGAGAGCTTTTCTGAGGATGGTTCCCAGGGTGGAACCCCAGGAAATGTTCCGGTCTCTGGCCTTTAAATCATAGCTGTGGAAAGTTCTTACTGTGTAGCCTTGATGTGAACTGTGCGGAAATTACCACTTGTCCACACAAGATGAATAGGTCACAGAGAACACAATTTCCCTCCCTCCAGAGGAAGACAGAGAAACCATGTTACTTTTGAAAGAGGTAGCTTTAGGCTGGAGAACTTCAGGACAAGCATGAAATTAGTCAATCCTGTATTTTACAGTTACTTGGGATTTGGATTGAAAGCTGCAAGACTAGCAACCCTGGGAGCCCTGGAGATGGAAGGTTCGTCTGGGTACCTGTGCTGGTTGGGGTATGGTGAGAGTGACACCAATACTCAGCTTGCCTTTTCCTTTCCTTGGCAGTGATTGTGTGGAGGAAAGGTTATGCTGACTTAGGAAGCATGTTATATAATGGACATAATAATAGCAAACTCCTTTTCTACTTCATGAGTTCATTTGTTTTGTATACATTATTAGCCATTTCTAGAATGAGATCTGTTTATATAGGGAGAACAGCCTGTGGCCAGGAGGCTGAAGTGTCTGCAGAAATTCAAGGCTCAAAGAGTAAATTTGGCAGGAGCTTGCTCAAGCCCTTAGTTTTATGTGAGAGGTACAGGAAGCAGCATCGGTCCACTTGCAAGGTGGAATAACTGAGCAACTCCATTCATCTCTTCGCAGGTGGTAGAGGGGTTACGAGCTCAGATTTTGGGGTCAGGCAGAACTGGGTTCAGTCCCAGTTTTGTGATTTGGGGCAAGTTAGCTAACCTTTCTGTGCCCCTTTCCTCACCTTAAATGAGATTTTTGTATTTAATGCACTTTGTATGGTGCCTGGCTCACAGTAAGCTTTTATTGTGATGATGATTATGTAGCATTTCAGAGTTTACAAAACATCTTCAAGTGTATTTCATTTAAGCCTCACAACAACTAATGAGAAAAGGAGAACAGTATTTTTTCCCTTTTTTAGAAAGGAGGGAACTTATTCCACTGTAGGTTTGGGATTTCTTTGAGATGTGATGAAAGCCACGGACCTCTCCACCAAATGCACTTATGCACAAAAATTTGCCTGTAGTTTCAGGGGGTTTACCAACCCCACAAAGCCCATCTATGAACCGAGTTAAGAATTCTTGTTATAGGATGCAGTCGTGGAACTAATTTCATTTGATTTTAAGGCCTAGCCACCTTGGCAATTCTTTTCAACCTTACTGGCTTCTTGTTTGCCTTCCTCTCTCTCTCTCAAACCCCTGCCTCTTACTTTGTGGTCTGGTTTCTTTCAGGGATTGATGGACACACTTTCCGAAGCGCCTGTCTACCTAGATGGTTGGAAGCAGAGTGGATCTTTGGGGGTGTGAAATACCAGTATGGTGGTAACCAAGAAGGCGAGTGATGTTTTTTCACTGGATGAAATTACTCATGGGAAAAGTCTTATGGGAAGCTTTTTGGAGAGCTCAGGAGAAGTTTGTCATGTTGCAAGGACTCATTCCAAATAGATCTTGGTATGCCTCCAAGGAATAATGTGAAGTGACAGTGAACAAGGCAGGTGTCACCCTGTATCCTGCTCTTTCCCTGGCCAAGTGTTGAGGATCCATTAGAAACCTGTTCTTACCCTGGGTCTAATGCATGAAGGGTCTCTGCCCTCAGCAGGGTGAAACTCTGTTTTAGGTTCAGTTAATGTTTAGCAATTTAAATTATAGTAAAACTTAAAATTGAGGTGATAAGAAGAATAATTCACCTTAGGTATTATAAAAGGCATAGACCTTAAAATCAAGGAAAAAACTTGATTTTTCCAGTGAAAGAAGCAGGTGAGCCTTCTGGATACCTCTTATAAATACCATGAAACATAATGCTAGGTAGCAGCTCAAGGTGGGCTGTGGCTGTTTTTGGTGAACACAGGTAGGGAGGGGAGCTGCCATGGAGAAGCAGGTACCTTTCCTCTAGAGAGATAAGGCTGCAGAAGTTTGCTCATCTTTGTTTGTAACCCTTTGTCCTGAGCCTCAGCTTCTGCTTTCCTTGATCCTCCTGTTGTTTCTTCGTTAGTTCCAGCAGCTTGCCTCAGGTAGGGTCCCCTATCATTTTTCTCACCTTGCCCCTGTGCACCTTTGCCCTGGCAGGAGAGATGGGCTTTGAGCCCTGCTACACTGAAGTGCTGAGGGTGGTCCAAGGAAAACTTCACCAGGCAGATGAGGTCCAGAGAAGCTCCTTCTACGCTTTCTCTTACTATTATGATCGAGCTGTTGATGCAGACATGATTGGTAAGTTCACTCCAGGTGTCAGTCCAGGGAGGAAACGGGACAAGGCTGTGGTGAGGAAGGGAAAGGGAGAAAAGGAGTATTTGAAAAGCTTTGTCAGAGGTGATCACCCTATTCTTCTCCAGTGCTGGTTGTTAAGTGACACTAGTCACTCAAATGGAAAGGTGAATATGATTTAGAATCTTTTCGAGCTAGAAGATGGCCTAAACAAATATACATGAAGTGTTTTTATTTTTTAAAATTTTTATTGAGGTACAATTGACATAAAATAAAATGCACATATTTAAAGTGTACAATTTACTAAGTTTTGACATGTATACACCCATGAAACCATCACCAAATTCAAGATAATGAACATATCCATCACCCCAAAAAGTTTCCTCTTCCCCTTTTATAACTTTTTTTCTTATCATAATATTAATGATTTTTGTTTAGGTGTGACATTGTATATATGTGATCTGTCATGGCCTGAGATATGAATTAATTTTATATTTTCTAATATGTTATTTTAATGGATCAATTTTTTTTATTGTGGTTATATATAAAATAGATTATAAATAAATAAAATAGACTGCATAGATTATACTGTGGGGATATGTCACGTTTGTTTATCCAATTCTCTAATGTAAATTTTCTTTATTTCCAGTTTTTCATTATTATAAATGTCACTAGGATGTATTGCTTTATGTTTTCTTGAAGGCTTTTGACATCAGCTACTATTCTGTTTCATTTCAGATTATGAAAAGGGGGGTGTTTTAAAGGTTGAAGATTTTGAAAGAAAAGCAAGGGAAGGTAAGTGTCAGTGGCAGCCCTTGAAGGCGAGCCCGTGAGACTGTGCCTGCCAATTCCAGTGACCTTAAAGTGACCTAAAGCGCCAGTCAGCAGACAGCCTCTCAGAAGGCTGGTTTCCTGTCGTTACCAGGAGTTAAAAGCATTAAGTGATAAAGAAAAATATGAGAATATAAGAGGCTCTGGGGAAATGGTGAAAACCTTTTCTTCATTCTACATTTCTTCTTCTTTTTTTTTTAAATTAAAATAGTGTTGTTAGTTACTGAAACACTGAGCACCAAAATATATGGGACAATAGCCACAGAGGCTTCCTTGAGAAAGTCCATCAAAAATACAAATAGGGCCGGCCCCGTGGCTTAGCAGTTAAGTGCGCACGCTCCGCTGCTGGTGGCCCGGGTTCGGATCCCGGGCGTGCACCAACGCACCGCTTCTCCGGCCATGCTGAGGCCACGTCCCACATACAGCAACTAGAAGAATGTGCAACTATGACATACAACTATCTACTGGTGCTTTGGGGAGAAAAAAAAAGGAGGAGGATTGGCAATAGATGTTAGCTCAGAGCTGGTCTTCCTCAGCAAAAAGAGGAGGATTAGCACGGATGTTAGCTCAGGGCTGATCTTCCTCACAAAAACAAAAAAAAAAAACAAAAAAAAAACAACAAATAAATGATCTTATACAGTGGCCCCAAAGCAGGGCCCTGAAGATACTTTCCCTGTTTTCTGGGCCTCAGAATTAATAATATATAAAGGACTTAGTTGAATCAAGCCCCAATAATAAATCATAGCAATTCAGCAAATAAACTAGGGCCCATGTACATTTGAGTAGATAAGATGTAACATCAGAAATGTGCAAGTTCTTAAGAAGCTGCAGTCTTGGGGCCAGCCCGGTGGTGTAGTGCTTAAGTTCATGCACTCCACTTCAGTGGCCCAGGGTTCGCAGGTTTGGATCCTGGGTGCAGACCTATGCACCGTTCATCAAGCCATGCTGTGGTGGTGTCCCACATACAAAATAGAGTAAGATAGGCACAGATGTTAGCTCATGGCCAATCTTCCTCACCAAAAAAAAAGAGGCTGCATTCTTGCAGAACCTGTCAGTGCACAGTTCCAGCCTCTAAGACTCCCAGGCATCTGGGAGATGGAGAATAAAAAATTCTGCTTTGTTTATTCTAAGTCTGTATTTAGAGAAAATCATACACCTCTCAGTTGGCGGAAAACTTGAATTCCACTCTTCACTCTCTCTCCCCTTCAGTGTGTGATAACTTGGAAAACTTCACCTCAGGCAGTCCTTTCCTGTGCATGGATCTCAGTTACATCACAGTGTTGTTGAAGGATGGCTTTGGCTTTGCAGACAGCACCATCTTACAGGTAAGAGAGAGGACACCAGAGCTGAATAACAGTCTTCTTATTTGGTGTTGGAAAGTAAGAGTTAAGAACTTGTTTAGTAATCAGAGTGGCTACTGGTGGAATTATGAGGTATTTTTATTCAGACTATGGACAAGGCACTGTGCAAGGCACCACGAATGTGGGAAATTATCTTGATGCAATGGCAGCTTCTAAATATATTACCAGGCAAGCTATCCCAGAGGTCACAGAGCAGAAAGGCTTGCAGCCCAAATGAAGATGCCCAAGTCACATGGTTTATTATTAAATCAATTTCAAAACTCAGGGTGAGAAGCAAGGGGAAAGAGATGGGATAGGTGAACACAGAGGATAGAGTGCAAGCAGTTGGAAGTGCTACAATTCCTGAATCCTGAGTTCTTCTGTCCTGCCTCTCTCTTTACCACTGATAGTATGGTTACAAGTACTAGAGCTGAAGTTTGATCAAGGGGGCATAAGGACAGAAGATGCCTGGGGCCACCACACAAACTTGCTCTATTTGGAGAGGCACAGAGGGAGGTACACTGGCCGGTAGCATTAGCTCACTCATTAGCCCATTAGATGGTTTAATTTGGCAGAGGACATGAAGCACAAGAAAGGTGTCACCAATGAGTGGCTTATTTAAGACCTCATGAATATCGAATGCCTTGTGTATATGTAGTATGTCATATAGATTTTATGTGTGCCTCGTATATTTAGTGCCTCTTGAGTCTTGGGTCCCACTTTGTCTTCCTGTCTCTTTCCATCTGTTTCAGTACATGTAGGATCAACTTTATCTGTAGTAACTTATTTATCTATTCTATACACATCTTACGAGTTTCATGCATTTCATTTATTTTCTTGTCTTCTATATCATAATTGAATAATTGTACATTATAGTTACAAAGATGATTAAGACGTAATCTTTGTTCTCAAACAGCATATAGTCTATTAGAGGAGATATGACAAAAATATAGCTGTGGCACAAGGCAACTTTGAACTTGAGGGTCAAGTAAGTAGACTGTACTTTGTCTCTGAAGCACGCCCTACCTTCCCTTGTGCCACACTTCCCCTTCCTGTTTCCTCAGTTCCAGATGAGTTTATATTGCCCCATTTCTTGTGTTATACAGATTTCATAAACTCATTTGTACTAAAGTATTTGGATTTAATGTGTTGTATCTGCCAAGAATATCAGTATTTAAAGTGCTTAACACAGAAGAGTTACTTGCCAGTAGAGTCATTATAGCATAGTGTTTAAAGCATGGGCTCTGTTTGCCATCAGATCTGGGTTCAAGTTCTGATTCTGCAAGCTTACTAGCTCTGTGACCTTAGATGATTTACTTCCCCTCTCTAACTTTTAGGTTCCTCATCCAAAACACAGCGATCCTTAGAGTACCTATTTCATAGAGCTGTTATGAAAACTGAGATAATGCATGTAAAGCACAATGCACGTAGTAAGTTATTAATATGGGTATTACTATTAGTGTAGGCATTTCACACCATTTGGGGATAGATTTGTGGATAAGAGAGCTCATCCTAAGCCCTCAGTACATACTAAGTTAACAACTTCCTCTACTTAAGCATCAACAATAACCAAGTCACTGAAGGACAATTTTCTGCCATTTCCAGCGCTGGCATCCTTTTAGTCTTTATGATTTCAGTGGCAGCAGAATTTAAATCATGGGTGAACAGTTCCCTGTCCCAGAGATCACTTCACTTTGGCATCTATATCCCTAGGCTGTCAGTCCAGTCCTGAGGACAGGGGAGGAGCATTTGGTGGTGGGGGGACACTCCCAATTTGACTCAGGTGTCTCAGACTAAACCTCACGATGATGATTCACACGCCATTCTTCCCAGTTTTTGGCACAGTGACTAGACTAGATTGATCAGGTCAACATAGCTAAGTATTGTGTCATAAGAAGTTAGTAGTAGAAGGAAAGACTAAAACCAATCCATTGGTTTCCAAACTTTTTTGTGTGTGTGGTGGTGGTGGCATCTTTATTCAACAAAAGCTTATGTAGAATGCAAGTAAAACTGATAAAAAGTGGAGCTCTCTAGTTGAAGCAGAGGTAGGGGGCCTGGAACTCCGTCACCATTTCGCCTCCCTTTCTTCTCTGAAGTACTTCCCAGGAATTCCTAGGATTCTGGAAAAAACAGTTTGATAAACACTAATCTATTCCCCTTGTTATGTAGTTGAGGAAGTCAGGTCTAAACTTTGCCCAAGGTCACAGAACTAACTGAGCACAACCTGGCTTAGAATGCCTTAAATGCCTTGGTTGGTTATTACTAGTATAGCTTAAGAAGATGCAGTTGCTTATAAAGTATGAATTGATAAGTTTAGTATGTTCTTTTCCTATCCCTAAATCTATTCCCAACTCCTATTATATTTAGTTTAAGGATTAGGGAGAGAGTTCAGAAGTCTGTCTAGAAGGCTTGAGTGGGGCCACTTCCTAGCCAGAAGATACAGGGATCTGAGTGGCAGCTCTAGGGGCCATAGGCCATGGCGGGAGGGAAACTTACAGAGAGGGGTAGTGGAAAGCCTCCAAGACTGGCTACTCTCAGTTTTGCCTTGGTTTGGCCATGTGGATGATCTTTGCAGATATTCTCTGCCCATGTCATGCTTACTAGAGTTGAAAATTGAATGAAAATGTTAAAACTTTTTTCTCCTCCACAACAGCTCACAAAGAAAGTGAACAACATAGAGACAGGCTGGGCCTTGGGGGCCACCTTTCACCTGCTGCAGTCTCTGGGCATCTCCCACTAAGGCCAAGCCCTTCCTCTGAGGCGTGTATTCACCAACAACCTTTTTAGAGGGAGGAGAGAGGATCAGCCATGTTCTAAGCTAGTCTGGGTACAGCCTAGACTGAAGCCCAGCAGCTGCCTTCATCAGGAGTAAGGGGCTTTTGTAGACAGGTCTTACCCTTGAGTCTAGAGATTTGGATTTAATTAATTTTACACATCTAATGTGAACTATTACCTAATCATTCTGTGTGCACAGCTGGCACCAGAGTCTAAATCTTTGAGATTCCTTGTGTGGAGAGCCAAAAGGAATAGCTTTGGAACTTAACCTTGGAGAGCCCAGAGAAAGGTCCCTGGGAACCAAAGAAAAAAATCTCATTTCACCCTTTTGAGTGCCTCATTCCTTTGAACATTTTAATTTTTCTCTTACATGCTAAACTAAGCTGAATGATTTTAATCCCATGACCTATCAATACCAGTATTTTTTTTCCTCCCTACACACTGCCCTGTCCCACCCTTATCTCTACCCACCTCCCCCGAAAAAGAGAAACAATACCTGGTTTAGCTTTTCACGTGTAATTCAAGGGGAAAAAAAAAGTACCATATCTGAAGTTGTGGGATCCTGCTTTGTGCGAGCTCCAATCAGCCAGCTGACAGCCATCCTAAGTTTTAGCAAGATGGAAAGCAGTCCCTAACTGTGCAGATCCCAGTGTTAAGAAAGGCGGCCATCAAGTCTCTAGGGACATGTTTTGGGAGACTGTGGCTGCCTTGTATAAACCACCCTCTTTTTAATCAAGTTTTTATCAGTTAATCCCAGGATTAATGAACATGTCCAACCTTACAGGAATGTGTGTGTATTCAGTGCCAATACCTCCTAGCAGGCTAATGTGTTTATAGTAATTTGTCATCCTAAACTTTTCTTTGTATTTCCAAGAAATAAAACTATAGCCTAGCTTTTGGTCTGTGATGAGAGGCCTGTGTCTGTACTCTTCTGGGATCTAGATTTTGGTCATAGTCCCTTACAGTTTGCCCTTTTCTTCTCTCCGTTTATAGCAGTATCTCTTCCTGTCCTGGCTCCTGATCAATTTAGCTAGCATCCTCTACATTATTTGTCTAGTTCTAGGGTTTCTGATACCCTTCTTGATGATACCTAACATTTGATTTAGCTGGCTATTTTGACCCACATCAGTACAGTGGATTCTTTTTAAGTTTGAATGCTCAGAGCTCTTGATGTTGTGAATTATTTCCCATAAAATTATCTTGTACTTTCCTGCATGACCATTTGCTTCTTATCTACCCACTTGAGTGCTCTTGGACTTGAAAGATCTTCCTGTAGTCTGGCACCTTTGCCTTGGCTCTTTACCTCCAGCTCCTTTCCAGGAGAGTTTGTATCTCCTCAAACTTGTAGCTTTCACAGTAGGCTTTCAGCTTTCTCACAAAGGATGTTCAATATACCTGGCCCTCACATCAGTTCCTGGGGAACTTTATTTTTTAAAGTTATTCCATTGAATCAATAAATATTTAACATCTGTTATGTTCAAGTAACTAGACAAATTTCTATATCATCATTCCCCAAATTTTAGTTTTTATTTTTCCCAATGTGGAATTTCTTCACACTCTTCACAATGACTTTTATTATACTAAGGTCAATTATACCTATTGTCCTCCTCAAAAAATTCTTATACATAATAAAATAATAGAATCTTTACCGTTGGAAACAGCCCAAAGATATGATCCAATCTTCTGCCCATTGCAGAATTCCCATAACATTTCTAACTGGTTATTATTCAGCTTCTATTTAGGCATGTTTTAGCTCATTCCATTTGGGGACTACACTGATGTTAAAAAATCCCTCCTTATATTGAGCTGAAATCTGTCTTCTCAGTGGTCTTAGTTCTGCTCTCATCTCTCCTTCCATAGCCTTTCAATCTTTTGAAGAAAACTCCTCCCAAGTCCTTTATGGTCTCTTCTTTAACATATACCACATGGCTTCTTACCATCTTTGTCAAAAAAGTAGGGTGCTAGAACCAATCATCATACACTATACGTTGTTCCCCAGGATTAGAGCGAGACTGTTTCCTCTTGTATTCCTCTCCTCTTGCTTTCCCATGCGGTAAGCTGTTAACTAAAGACTCCTCCCGCTTGACAGGTCCAGAGAGGTTAAGATTCCCTGGTCTTTATCACCACAGCTTGTTTCTGAAGCTTTTCTTACAAATGGGCCATGTATTGTTCAGCAGACTCCTTTGGTCATCCCAAATACTTTCAGAACTCTTGGGTAGATGCATTACATGCATTATAACTCCAGAAATTCATCTACATGTATTTTGATAATCTTGATTATCAAAAGAACATCTGGAGAATTAACCAATTTATCCATTTTAAGAGCAATTTGGAGTGAGAATTTTATTTCTTAGGAAAAAACGATTTGTCTATAATGTCCTTTCTGCCCCTCAGTGTTCCTTTTGGGCCTCTTAAGGGATCCTACAGAGTCTAAATATTGCTGGTTAAGTTTCCTTTCTGTAAATGTGTCTATGTATTTCAAATACTTAGGACACGGCCCAGAACACAGTAGATGTGCTGTGTTTATCATCATCAGCATCTGAAGAACATCCTCTGTGGGTTATGGAGGTCCTTGCAAGGTGTGCCTTAAAATTCTTCCTATCTTGCCTGATTTTGTTTGCATACATTTGGAGAGTCCATGGTCTCCTTATCTGGGCTACCTTGCCCTTTTCGTGAAGAATGACCTTTTTTCCCTAGTGACCTTTCTGGATTCTGCCAGTAGTCAGTCACACAGCTTTTCACAGTAGCTGCCATCTTTTCTTCTGGGCACATTTTTCCTGAGATTCCAGGAAGCTTTGTGACATTGTTACTTTTTTACTCTAGTACCTTATAAAATTTCCACATTTGCCTGAAAAGCTCTCCTGTGGTAACAAATTTCTCATGCCTTCAAAAATTATTCCCAAGAATAGCTTAGCTTGGTTCCAAGCAGACAGTTTGTCATTTCATCTTCAAACCACTTTTTGGTAAGATGTTCTTTACAGTATACAAAATCGAATGGACCTAAAAATCTCTTCAAGAGGCATCTCTGATACTCTGAAGGTTATCTTCAAAAACCCACAGCAAAACACCACACCCCACACCCAAGTCGGCCACCTGTCTGCCACCAAACATGAAATTCTGCTGCTAATCAGATTTTTCCTTTTGACCTAGTTCCTGAGGTCTTCAAACCTGTGCAATGAAATTATTTATTGTCATTGTTACTGAACAGACAATGGTGTCCCAGAGAGGAACCATAAATAAAATTGAAATCTGGTGCTGTAATGAGGAAGTAATAACTAGCATTAATAAGATTCGGTTTTCTTTTCAGAAAGTCCAGTGCACCTATAACAAAAGTTAAAACAATTTGTTTAATTGCATTCTAATGTTAATTTTAAAACAGTAATTCTAACAAAAATGTATCAAATATTTCTAATTATCAAAAACCACTTGTAAAATTTATTACCAGCATAAAAAAACCAATTGTGTAAATCTCTTTAGAAAGGATTGTTAACAAGTGAAAATGAAAGAGACAGCACCTCAGTGATTTGTTTTAGTAATAAAAAGCTCTTTTCAACTAAATCGTGACAGTCTTCCTTTGGGGTTTTTTCTTGACTTGGTTGATATGCCCTCCTCACAGCAAATTACCACTCATTTTTGGGGGGTCCATAGGCCCATTAAGCAGAGGAGAAAAATAGACTGGAAAATTCTAAGGTAAAGTAATTTTATTAAATTAAATTAAATCTTCAGACTATATGATGATCTTGGGAATGGATGTTCTTTTGTCATCCACATAATCTCCAGAAGGGGAGCATTCATTTGCTTGCAAAGGCCATAATCTGTTCCTGGAGAAAAATGAAATAAAGTGAGTGATACTCTGACACTGTAAAGTTTGAGGGCAGGTGAAAAAAATACTTTAAAATATCCAAAGTGATTAATTAAAGCAAAAACTAAGCAAAAGATCCAGATAGATACTCCTCCCAAAAGTCCCTCCAAAGTGTCTTTATTTTTATTTATTTGGTGAGGTAGATTGGCCCTGAGCTGATGTCTGTTACCAATCTTCCTGTTTTTGCTGAGGAAGATTGGCCCTGAGCTAACATCTGTGCCCATCCTCCTCTATTTTGTATGTGGGACACCACCACAGCATGGCTTTTTTCTTTTCTTTTCTTTTTTTTTTTGTGAGGAATACTAGCCCTGAGCTAACATCCGATGCCAATCCTCCTCTTTTTTGCTGAGGAAGCTGGGCCCTGGGCTAACACGCCCATCTTCCTCTACTTTATATGGGACGCTGCCACAGCATGGCTTGACAAGCAGTGCATCAGTGTGCACCCAGGATCCGAACCTGTGAACCCCAGGCCGCCGAAGCGGAACGCGCACACTTAACTGCTGTGCCACTGGGCCAGCCCCCACAGCATGGCTTGATGAGCAGTGTGTAGGTCCGTGCCTGGGATCCAAACCTGTGAACCCCAGGCCACTGAAGCAGAGCACGTGAACTTAACCACTATGCCACTGGGCCGGCTCCTCCAAAGTGTTTTAAATGGAAGTTTCTCAGAAAAGAAGCTGGCTGAGCAGCAAAAGTAGCTTAAACATCTTTATAAGTCCCTGTTGACTACTTTAAGCCCTTCCTTATATAAAGTTACTGCTTAGTTGTGGGCCCCAGCACCAACAAGCCCACCAAGGACTTTTTGCTCATAACCACTGGGGAAGGTAGACAGAGAAACATAATTTTACAGCCAAGAAAATTAATTCAAAGAATTTAAAAGTCATTGGAAAAGTCATTCCTCAGCAAGGTTCTTGGAGAGCCATGACCAACTTCTTACTTTGAGTGGAGATACTGCATTTGTGGCCTGCAAGCCCCATGTCCTGAGCAGCACAAGTGGAGTGGCCCTGGTGGAATAGAGCCTTTTTAGTAGGTCAGTAGCAGCCAGAAGAGCAGTGTTGTGACGTTGTCTGTCTGTTTCATAACCTGTGAGGTGGCTCATGGAACCTGGAGGAAAGAGGAAAGGTTAAATCCCTAATCCAACAGTGAAGTTTTCTTTCCTGGCAAACCAGATACATTTATGTCCACCACATCTGGCTACTGAGGGCCATTTTGGGATCCTGATCTTGCCTAACCACATGACTTCTGGATAGTTCTCTAAGGTACCTGAATCCTTACCTAAGTCTTTCCCATTGAAAGCTGCAGTACTGAGGTGATGGACCAAGCTGCAGATATCCCCAAAGCCCATGTTGACACCCTGTCCTGCAAGTGGATGGACTCTGTGGGCTGCATCCCTAAGAATAAAGCAGAGTTCAGGTGTGGCCTCCAGGAGCAGAGTGAGACGGGAGCAGCCCCGCTCTCTTATTA